TTTTTTTTATTTAAATCACTTTTTTTTTCTTTTTTCCTATTGTGTAAAAATCTAAAGCATATTTAGTTTCCTTTTAAAGTATTTGCAAACACAATAATACATATACATATATATATATTTATATATATATGCGTGTGTGTATATAAGTATATATACAATATACATATTTTTTATTTTTTATGGCATAGAATACACGTTTTACAATATTTCCTGTTCATGCTTATTCTTTATGTGACTCATGGCGTTTTTATGTTTTCATTTATTGTTGTATAGCGGCACGCTTCCGACAACATTTGCAAAAACACCAAACACATAAAAAAAAGCAGTTATTGTTTTAAATAGATTTTGTACGTTCAACTTTTACGTAACGTAAAAGTCATTCGCGAAAGTAATGTATCAAAAAAAAGTTATGAACGCAAGAATATAAAGGAGAAAACGAGGTCTCCTTTGGGAATTTGCCAGAGAAATATGTGTAAAATTTAATTCTTGCAATAGTTAATAAACTAATGAAAGTGTTCCAGTGTGTATCATGTCGTATCTTAAACTATATCTAAAGGATAAATAAATATATTAAAGACGGCTTTCACGTCTGAGATGTTAAATTCCGCGAACCACGAAGGATTGATATTTCTAAAGAGTGGACTATTATCATCGCGAGGATGCTTTAATTCATTGAATGTGGATAGTTATCCTACGAAGCAATTATAATTTCTAGGAACGTGAGAATATTACCCTTGAGGATGATTCACTCATTTGTCAAAATGTTTGCAATGCCCAGAAAGAGGCTTCACAAAGTGTATGTGCATTGTTGATCAGCGTTAAATTCTGGATCGATTTAAGCATATCCATCTATCCGTATCCCTATAATATCTGTATGGAACCTTCTCTTGAAAGTAAAAGTGAAGTTATCGGCTTGAAATTTGACAGAAATAATGGAAGTTTTTGCTCGCAGGTTAGTATTGAAAATGGATCAAATCAATCGAAGGGGACGTCCACAGTATCACTTAAACTCAGAACACCTCTTTAATAAAAAATTTGTTTATGCTCTTGTTTATTCACCACAGATATATTTACAAAAATTTAGACATATATTCTATGGATGATGCTGTTGCATCTGTACAGAAATGTGAGAATTTTATCATGTCTGCCCAGTATTACAATGTACCAAAATTCACCTTTTCATATCTTGATAACGCTCAGAAGCAAGCTTCAAGAACGCCGTTAACTGTATATAATAAATTTTTGGCCAATTTCAACTTTGAAATACACCTAGCCACGTCCGTCTATTCGTCGGCCAATCTACCCGTCTGTTCGTCCGTCCGTACGTCCATCTGCCAAATTGTGTAGTATCTATGATCCACATTCTCCTGTTCACAAAAAGGGAGAGATATTGCTTATAAAACTTGTAAAAGAATTTGAAAACACATCAAGGAGGTCGAAAAACACGCCTACAACGCCCTTAGGTCTGCATAACCAAAATTGAGAACATCTTTGCTTTCCGCGCCTTTTAATCGTTGTTCATAAACAAAAACAGGTACGCGGTATAAATTCCCACGAACTTATTTCTCAAGAATGGAAAAAATCTGCCACGCCCACCCAATATGCAAATTTATATTTTTTCATTTTTTTTCAATCCAACGGTGATGGGAAAAAATCTGCCACGCCCATCCAATATGCAAATTTATATTTTTTCATTTTTTTTCAATCTAACGGTGATGGGTATAAAGATTCGATCGCAATCGAATATGATTTTCTAACTTGTTTTGTATTTCACGAATCAAGTTTCATGTAGAAGACTGCTCCGTTCACTAGATTCGCACCTATTTCTTCGCTTCCAAACCTTTACCGTAGGAGACTTAATAGACTAACTGTGCGTGCAGACAAGATAAAATTTATACCGATTCAGAAAAAATGTGCGAATTTTTGTATTCTCTTCAATGATGCAAGGACTCCTTAATATCTGTGGATTTTAACTGGTCCCTTTCGATAATACGGCCAACGAAGGACGGATAATCTTTAAATCAAATGAAACTAATTGAGAACAAAAAATTTTATATCTCTAAGCTTATTTAGATCTTCTAAGACCTTGGGTCATGGTTTACAGTAGATTCCTAAGACATTCTAGCTCTCTTTGTCAACATTATCAATTGTGTTGTTGTGATACATCAGGAAGCTTACAGGTTTATTTGCCTCAAAGCAAAATTTTGATATGTAAAAGAAGAAGAGAAGAATTTTTTCAATTTATTTCCTTTTAATGATCTAACTCGTCTGTGTAGTTATCGGTGCTTACTCTAACTGATGTCGCTTTAAACTAAAATCGATTTTATAGGATTTTTTGCCCAACTTTGCTTAATAAATCTTTTTATGAATAACTTTTAAAAACTTGTGCTCTTACAAAGTTTTG